TTCAAAGTTGTGCACTAGGTATTAGAGTTGTGAGCTATACAATTTAACCAAACAAACAATATTGATACAACGTCCAACATTATCGGAGACATGGACAGAGACAACCTCTTAATAGCTTGAAATAAGTATTTCTAAAGGTATAACACATTTGTTTTCATCCCTACAATTTCTATTACATTTGAGCTGGGCATGGTTGTGTTCCTATAGTCCCAGAATTTGAGAGAACAAATACCAGCATTGCTATAAGTTTGAGGCTCACCAGGACAATAAAGCAAGTTCCTGTCTCAAAAACAAAGCAATAGCTGAAGAGATGGCTCAGCAGTTAAGAGTTCCTGCTGCTCTTTCAGAGGACTTTGATTTGATTCTCAGCATCTACATGGTAGCTCACAAGCACCTCAACTCCAGTTCCAGAAAATCTGACACCTTCTTCTGATCTCTGTGAGTACCAAGTGTACACGCTCTACACAGGCATACAAATAGGCAAAACACACATGTACATAAAGTAAAAGTTAAAAACAAAGTCTATTTTTATAAACAAGACATTAACAAAAATGTTAAAACTCCTTTAGCTTCAAAGAATGTGAAAAATATCACCCAGTTTTATGAATATATTTAGCCAAAATTTGTCTTTTAAAGAAATATATCATGATTTTCCTTCATTTTTATGAAATGAAAAAAATTTACCATCTTAATTCTTTTTCAGATCTTGGAAAGACCCAAGTCATTTGAAGTGAATGTTTGTGTGTGCAATTTCTCCTTACAACAGTTTTAAAAATTTATCAGCTGAGAAGGAAAGCTGTGTATGTGCTACTACAAACTCACACTTTGCCCTCCTCTGTTTCTCCAGTAGTTAGGCAACATAAAGAGTTTTAATTGGTACCAGGCTTTAACAAAGGAGTCATAGGTGTATTTCATCCAAATTCAAAGCATGCCAAATTAGTGTCAAAGGGAGACAAGAAAAGTTAGACACCATGCTATTGGGGGCAAACCTGTTGCCTGTTAGAGCACATTCACTTCATCCATTGGTTCTGACTTGGTACTTATACATAAAGCTCATTAGAATGATATACATGTGAGCTTAAGATGTTAAGCAAATTTTCACTTAAATATTCTGTGAAATCCAAATCCCTTGTTGTTTTTCTCCTTTTCAGAACCTTATTTGAGAAAAAATTTCACTTTTAAGAAGAAAAGCACAATGCAAAGAAAAATGAACTTTAAAAGAGGTCTGTTAGTTGGAAATCATTTATTGCCTCTATAAAAGTTTAAATAAAAATCTACAAAAATTCACATTACAATCTGATATGGTTTTAAAGAGATAATATGCTTCAGAGGTAGTACCAGTAAAATGGGATGCAGAATTGCTAGCAGGGATTACTCAGTGTGTTAATGCAAAATAAAATTTCAATGAGGAACAATATATACCCCGTATACAAGTTAATGAAACAATCATAATTACATCAGCATGAAAATATTCCTTTTCTTCTTTCCTCCTTGGCAAATGTGTTCTTAATAAAGATTTGTTTATGTCAACTGCAGGTTCACAAGTTAGTAGGCTATTTCATTAGAGCATCACAAAGCATAGTTTGGTGACGGGCGTGGCAGTGATATCTGTCAAAGTTAACACAACTTCAGAAAGAAATTAACTATCAATTTGATACACAGCAATGGTAACTCTTCAAAGAACAATACCTTTTTTTTATTTTGGGAATTTGAATGAAAAGAAAATTGACTATAAGGTCACACCATTCCTGGCATTTTATCACTACCTCATGGATAAAAGGCAGCAGATAAAGATTTCAAAATTCCTTTCAAAGGTGATTACAATAATGCTAAGAGAGGGGCTGAAAACTCCTCCCCCCAAAAGGAAACTAGTCATTTTTATCATCCAGTGTCTGTTTATATCTACCACTTAGCTTTTCTCCTATAAACTGATAAGACTGCCCAATGTAAGGGCCTTAAAAGTAGATGTTTCTGTCTTTGCAAAAATGAACTGTTGGTCATCTTTTGAGGTCTGGGTATTAACTGTATAATGAACACAGGATGTGACTGGGCCAGAGCCTTTTTTCTCCAATAGTAACAAACATTTCTATCACTGATTACAGTTGCAGTGTAAAAGTCCTGTTGATAGCTGACCTTACAACAAAACATCCCCCAGGTTCTCTAAACAGACCAATTTTCCTTTAACATTTTCTTTGCCTGTGTTAATTTTCCTATTCTCCAGGGCAACTGCAATTCTCATTTTCTTCTAACTAATTTTAGCTTGGCTGAATGAGGAAGGTGCCTTCTTTTTGTTGTTATTGTTGTTTCAGGGTTTGTTTTTAACTCACGTTTTAGAAGGTAAGTGCTCTCAGATATACATTATGTGCTTTGAAATTGCTTGGTATCCTAAGCTTAAAGTAAACATTTAAATGCAGTTCAGTAGGGAAGAAATCCCATTTACATTTGCTTCTCTGAAGGATACTTCTGATAGTATAATATGCTCTAATATTGTCAAAGCCCTAAAGAAAGAAATACTACTTAGATGATTTTCAATATGATCCACAGACACGTTCATGAAAACAGTCAAAAACTATCGTTTTTCTTGTTTAAAAAAATCTCAAAACCCAACTTGTATGTGAAAAATGTTTTCATTATAGTAGCTTCGTATCTGTCCTCCTTAAGTACTTGGGATTGAACCTGTGGCCCTGTGCAAGTGCCAAGCTAGCTCCCCAGTTTTATAATAGTTTTTTAAAAAATATTTGATCTTCTCCAAGGTCTGTGTTATGTATTCAATCTGCCAAAATATGGTTGTTTTGACATTGCTGCAACTATTTCTTTTGGGTATGGCTATAGAAAATCCCCACTAATATTTTTTAAAGGTTTTAATTCCTATGTTCATAAAAGATATAATTCTGTGGCTGAGAGAAAAAACACCAGGATAAAACTAGTCCCAAGTAGACTGTTAGGACATATAGCTTCTAGGTTAATGAAACTTTAGGAATAAAAGTATAAGTTAAATGTCTTTCCAAAATTATAGATATAATATTCCTTCTAAGTATCACATCTATTAGAATGTTTAAATCAATTACAACTGATAGTTGAACACCTTTTATTAATATCCATGAAAAGGTTGACAGGGAAACATTTCTTTGTATTTTGAAGCCCAGCTTTCCTCAGTCTACCCAATGTGAGGTATCAGTGTTGTGCCATTGTACTTAGCTAAAATCATTCTTTTTGTAATCCATAGATTGATAAGAAATCCACTGTCTGATTCAGCGTCTTTTCTATAGTAAGAGCGCCATGAATGTTTTCTTTTATTTAGTGACAAATCTTTAAGTGTAAAAAATAAAATTATGAGTGTTAAAACACATAGGAAAGACTCACTCTGCAATGAAGGCCGACTAAGAAGAGTTTTAAACTCAGGCAATTTATAAGTTCAAAGATAAACTCAACCTTACTGAAGAAGACTGTAGTAGAAATTTAAGACTAGAAATTCGTTCATAATAGGATCTCATGGTATAACCATAGCATATCTGAGCCCAGAAATTTCTTCATACCAGGATCTCATGGTATAACCTTAGCACACCTAACCCCAGAAACTTGTTCATACTAAAAGAAATAGAATGGTGAAGGTAAAAGAAACTAAAATAAATCTTATGGTGAAATACAGCTGTCATCCTAGAGTTTTGGAAACAGAAGCAGGAGCAGTAGGATTCAAAAGCATCCTCAGCTACATTGGGAATTAAAGGCTGACCTGGGCTACAGGAGACCTTGTCTAAATCCTCCATATCACAAAATAAAGGTTTCTGTATTTTTTGTATACAGGGGGTGGGGGACTCTTTATCTCATGGATAAATTTATGTGACTGAAAAATTTAACCCGAATGTTTGAGGTTCTGTTGCTCAATGGTCTTTTCCCTGAATGGAATTTGATTTGTCAGCAAGGAATACCAAAAGTTGTTTGCAAATAACCACATGACGGTCAGCTAAAGAGCATGTAGCTGACTACTGAAATATTTCTGCTGACAAAGAAGCCATAGAAGCTGGGTGGAAGCAATGTAAAATCAAATAGTTGATAAACTGAATGACCATCAATGAACTTTACTTGTATATATTGGGGAGAAGGGACATTTCCAAGTTAAAGGCATTTGTGACTGCCTTTCTGCATTCCGAAATTGGTATCAGGGAATACTGAGATCAGAATCAGCCACAGTTAAAAAAACTTAAAAATATTTAAAGCTTCACAACTAGAACAGTTATCTAGCTGCTTCACTCTTCCTTCAGCATTAGATAATAATTCAATCGTGTAATTTAGTTCCACAAACGAGGTCACAAATATATGACAGTGAGCTTAGGGAGAAACTAGTGTTTTCCCAGCTATGAATCTTAGTATTCCCATCTGGTATTCTGGAAGGGAAGATCTGCAAAGGGATGTCTATAGTGTGCTACCATCTGGTTCCAACTAACAGTAACAACTGGGTGTTCATAGAATAGCATCCAGGAAATTCAGAGGACTTTAATTTACAATCAAAGTAGTATAACGCTTTTTTGATATTGTTGTTGGCTGATGGCTCTGTACAGACCTTGTATGGAAATGAGATAAATTTTGTGGCAAAGTTGTATGGCTAGAATACAAAAGAAAACCAATATCAGTGGCGTACTTTGATTTTCTGCTTCACAAAATTCATGATGTGGAAGAATATTATGAAATTGTTGGTAAACTTGAAGTATTTGTGCAATATTTTCTCTAAATGAATTATATAAATTTACTATATAGTAGAGTGTAAATCACTAATACTGATCATTTTCAGTATACAAGAATTGAGATTAAAACTGTCTTTTATAAAGTACCGTTTTTGTATACTTAAATGTTTTGGCTTTTGTTGGTTAATTTACTTTCCAGAGTATTTTCCACTCTCCCCAGTTTTAGGTTTAATACCAATAACTTAAATTACATTCTAGTAATTGTTTCAATTTCTAACCATTATCTTAAGTCAAATTCTCATAGGAGTTAAAAATAAATCCTAGAATTCATCTAGGTTAAACATACATTTAGGTTTTTTTTTTTTTTTAATTTTCAGCCCACTTTCCTGAGTACAAATGTATATGGATGATAAGAAAATGAGAGGAGAAGGAAGCTGCAATGGCTACAAAAGTAAGACTAATAAAGCTTTAGCAACCTAGTAATGTTGAAATATGATTATTTTTATGTCTCTGCTTGAAACTTCTACTAAGATTCTTCTTAAACAATAAGTAAAAATCTTTCAAAAACCAGATATAATAGATTTCATGGCTGAATTGCTTAAAATTAAATATAATTTTTCTAGATTTTATAAGTTTTAAAAACACATTTCAAGTATTTTTACATTTGACATGCATTTTTATTGTAGCCATTATTTCTTGTCCTTCCTTTACAGAATATGCCTGTTTTAACAATGTGTTTTTCCAGTTGAAGATTATTGGGGAAAAATATAGTTATCTTGAAATGCACACCTGTTAGGCAACCAACAGAATACATCATATCCCCCACCCCCAGTCACAAACTGTCTGAGGCATTTTTCTCTGATAACGAAGACACACTGAATGAGGTATCATCAGGATCCGGTGAGGCGTGACTGAAATCCATCTCTTCTAATTCAGGAGGTAAATCTGACAGCAGTGCCTTATCAGAAAAAAATCAATTGTGGTAGATTAGTATGCAGACAGATATTTTTCCAACTTTATGTTAATAGTTGTAATTCTCTTGTTTTAATTTACTCCTATGGATTTAAAGAAAGAAACATTTATTTTAAGGATCTTACACAATTCCTTATCAAAAACAGTAAGTTTTCATATAATGCTATGAAAGAACTACATATCAGATGCCAAGTATGTGGATTATGTGGAGCAGAATCTTAAACAAAGGAGAAATCAAGAGGGAAATGAGCATGCATTCTGATGAGACCTGCAGCATTCAGAGTGGTTTAGAATGGCATGGGTGAAGCCATAAGCAACTATCCCAAACCAAGGATTTTTTAACCATAGGCTTTTAAAAGGTTGCAGAATGGCATGGGTGAAGCCATAAGCAACTATCCCAAACCAAGGATTTTTTAACCATAGGCTTTTAAAAGGTTGCAGTAAGTGATTTTCATACTAGTTTTGGGTGTTGACTGCTCACTGCTAAAGGGCTTTAAAATTTCATTTTTTAATTAAAATAGTCATGCCTAGCTATAATATCATTTAATGAAACCTGCATTTCAACAAAGACCTATTTTGTACTTTGTTAAAAGAATGAATTTAGTAGTTAGGGAGAAACTCTTCTATTGTACTTTAGATAACATTTTAACAATTTAAAACTATCGTGTGGGGTTTTTGTTTGTTTCCTTTCCTTAGACTATGTCCATACAAGTGACAAAGCACCTAGCACGGTCTGTTCAATTATGGCTGTTGTACCAAGGTATCTATCTGCTCATTTCTTTGCTGTGACAATTAGGATATGCAACATTCTTGAGCTAAGCTTGACCATATTCTAATTGTTCCATCTGTATTTGTAGAACATGTATCTATACTAGAGAAATAAACAATCAAGATTTATGTGCTTGACAGTGCTCATGCCCATTTAACTTTAAGAAATCAGAAGTAAAACAGCATAGTCTGTCTGGAAATTTTTCAACAGCATTACTTGTATTGTGGGTTTGGGGAGTATTAGTAAACAAGAACCAAGGCAATAGGAACAAATGTAAGCTGGCCATTGTCCAGTTAAGGAATGGAAAGACAGGGTATGCTGGGGAAAAACACACTGTCAAAATAAGACATGATTCTTCTCAATAAAATAGTGAGTTACACATCCTTTAATTTTTGCCTTGCAGCACACAAATGACAAGAAAACATTTTATTTTTTTGTCAGGCTATGTAATGAAAAACTAACATATATGTGGAGAAAGTTATTATTTATTTTGTACCACTAAATTACCCATAGATTTCTTGCTGAAACTAAGTGCACTTCCATATGAACGTACCATAAAGATACCACTTGCTTTCTGAGGTACTAAGCTGCAGTAATATGGCACACGCCATTTTCCTCTAGAACAGTAAGCTACTGCTGATCCAGTTCAGGTACAATGGGGCCTTTGCCAATGTTGGCTGTTCAGAATGTGAGTGGGTACATCAATCACTTGATTGAGCTTGCTCTACAGTTTTGAACATGCCATATTAAGAATGGAAAGGGGTTCAAATTGGCACTCATTGACCATGAGTTTGCATATGGGAAAGTCAAGTGGATTAGAAAATTTCATATTGTAAATTCTAGTGGAGAGATGTACAAACTAGAAAAACATTGCTATTTATCTTTCTTTGTTGTATTGCATATAGTTGGCTGACTAAAATAAGAATAGAATTTAAAATGTTCAATAAATGAGGTAGTTCATAACACTTTTGATGTATAGATTGCCCCTCAAAATTCTTTCAATATCTTACTGGACTGCAATATCGGGGCATTAAACAAGTCTCTGCTGCTGATTAGAGTTGTCTTTTCCACAGAGATATAAGTAAGCACAGTTAAATTTCCTCTATTCTCCCATCCCCCGTATGGCAGATTGAACCCAGGATCTAATTTACTCTGGAAAAAAACACTCTGACAATGACTCACATCTACAGCCTCAATATTTTTTTATTACATGTTCTTCATCAGTAACAACTATTTTCAAGGTCTGACCAAGTGCCATTTTTTCCCAAGAGATCATTAACACTTTCGCCAAATATACGCTCAGTGTCTGTAATACTTATTCTAGGCTGTAAGATGTGAATGTAAAATTGATAATCATTCTTATCCTCCTTGCAGAGTGGAGAAATTGAAGTTTAGAAAGGCAATCGATCTGGCTAGGATCACACAGTGAATTATCAGGGGAAGAAAGACTATAACTAATGACTTAGAGCAATGTTGGCAAAATTATCTGGATGTTAAAATGGCTATTATTGATTTTAAAAAGACAACCTTTAGGTAATCCAATGTTTCAGTAAGAAAGTACCATATCTAGTTTTTAAACCCTGGACTTCTTTATTTGGGCAAAATAGTCCCTAGATCGCTCATTTCATTGAACTTATCCACATCAAGATTAATGAAATAAATACTGTATATTTTTTAAAAATAAAAAAGTAATGGCAAATGTTTCTATTTTACTAGGTAGAATATAATGTATTTCCAGAAATAAACTTTTGAATAATTCAAAGTTTGAACATTATTAGTTTAAGAGAAAACTTGGATTATTTTTGTAAATCACCACTTTTATCATATATGTAATCGTATGTGTAATTCATTAGTTTTCTGCGTTAGAGCCAGAGTCCAGGCTGTACACACGACCTTTCTGCTTTAAATTTCCAAGTAATTACAGGTGTCTATCACCACCGTATCCAGTATAATTTCTGCTTAGGGAATGTATTTTAAAAATCATTATACTCAATCTTGTGCATGAAAAATAATCACAGGTTCTATTTAAGCTGCTGATTCTATAGGCTGTGGCATTTAGTATTATTTTTGTATCATTCTCTACTTCAGCCCACACTGTGTTCATGTCTTACTTCAGTAGTCTTTTATCAGAAGAAAACTGGAAAAGGAAAAACAAAAGCATGTTAGTTACTTTTCTTATTTGTTAGTAATCATTGGGAAAGACAAGATCTCCTGAGTGAATTGGGAGCATGGGGACATTGTGGGAGGATTGAAGGGGAGGGGAGAGGCAGGGAGGAGAGCGGAGAAAAATGTAGAGCTCAAAAAAGAACCAAAGCAAAGCTATGAGCTTATTTTCAGATGTCAAGAAACAAAGACATTTACTAGTTAGCTGGTTATGAAACTGAATTCAAAATTGATACTGGATTTTTAGGACAAGAAAAACTTTCTTACTTAGCCTAAAGTTGGAGGTGTGTGTGTGTGTGTGTGTGTGCGCGCGCGGGGGGTGGGGGTATTTATGGTACATGTTCTACAGTTATTTGAAATCTATTATTCTATTGAAATTGTGTTCAATACTATTGCACTTATTCATTTAAAAATCTGTATTTTAGGTTTATATAAGTCAAACATACTTTATTTTTGCTGTCCTTTGCTTGTTTTAAGGTAAGGTCTTAGTTTATGGCCAAGCGGAACTCCAACTCAAAACAGTTCCACTACCTAAGCTTCACTAGTGCTTGAGTGGTGGCATAAGCTACCATACCTAGCCTATTAACACATTTTCAATATGCCTTGAAATGTGCAAACCATGCATAATAAAGCAATACACTTAAATAAAGGGATCCAAGGCAACTAAGGTCATTTGTATTGTGCTCTCCATGTATTGTCGGAATTGAAAGAGTAAATTCATAAATGTGGGAAATAATACTCATGCTGGCTTTAGTCCCATGAATGAACTCTCCTATTTTAAATTTTGTAGCTCAGTATATCAGTTAAATATATGGAGACCTTGTTCTTTGTAAGAAAGGAGAATTATGGGATGTTCAGACATTAACCTTTTCCCTGGAAATGTCTGAGACAGGCTATATATGCATAACCTTCTTGGAGTATAAGCCATCAGTGATTTTATTTTTGACAATTTTGCTGAATAAAATCTTCTAAGACTATTTACCAAATTATAGTTACCTGTATCTCATACTACTTACATGGAACTTTTCTTATAAGGAGTTAGCATGGTGATAAATAACTTAGCAGCAATTTGGAATCATTTAGTGTTAAACATAATATTTTATACTGGGCTAAATGAATGTGTGTATTTTTCTCGAGACTATATTTATATAGTCTTGAGACTATACATCAGGTTTTTCTGGAGACTATATGTATATATAGAAAAACCTGAGGGATAAATGCAATTTGGAAGGAATCTATAAACAAATATCCGTAGCAAAAACAAGCCATTTCATTTTTGGAGTGGAGGTTTCAAACATTCTTACTTACATTGCAAAATATTATACACTATGCTCACAAAGAATTTCACAAATAATTTCATGCTTTCTTGGTGAGAAGCAACACATCACAGAACAGACTGTCCAAACATTTGTGAGCTCCGGCAGCTGCTACTGAATAAAGAAATGCCCACATTTTCATTCAGAAAAAGCTTCCCAAACATGCTATCTACTTATGGGTCGAGATAGCTCCATCTCTACAACATTTTTGAGGAATTCTTTAAAATGAATTTTAAAATTTGATTTTTCTCTACTTAAAGGCTTTCTTGAAATTAAGAAAATATTCTAATTAGCTATTTTGACTTTGTACTCTAGTAGCATATAAAAAAATCTGAACACCTATTCTTAAGAAAACTATGTTTCAAAAGATCATAAAAAGAACCATTTGCTCCATGCAACTCCAAGCCAGAATGGAGAATACAAGTGAAGAGATATGAAGCGTCCACTATGACATGCCATTTTTCAACTTGACACATTGTGGCTTACTGGTCTCTCATGGGACTTACTTGCTGTTGTTCCTTATCATCAGCTTTCATAGCCAGAATCAAGTTTCTAACAAAAGTCTGGAGCTTAAAGTACTTTTGCTTTTGAATCTCAAGCTCATTTTCAATGAATCTGACTTCTTCATTCTAAAGGAGAAAAAAACCAAACAATAAAATTACCCCATGTAAACTCAAGCCTGTGTGTGTTTGATGAATAGGAAAACTAAAAAGCAATCAGAGTATAGAAACAATAAAAAACAATTTTAACCAAAAAAGAATATAAAATACAGCAGGAAATTATCGTGGTATTCAAAGGTTGCTGTTTAAACAAACCATCAATAGAAACAATTTACAAATAGATTCCAGGAAGAGAAAAACAAGAAAGACTTTGCTTCTTGGAAACAACTTTCCTATATCAAACTCAATTAGAAGATGCGAGTCACTGAAGACCGGCCTTAATGTGTGATAACTTCTGATCTTCTATCTGCTTGTGGATGCAATGTGACCAAGCACCTCACACTTCTGCCCTCATGCCTTTCTTGCCCTAAGAGGCTGTATTCCTTTGAACTTGGAAAGTTCCCAAACAAAACCTGTTAAATTGCTTCTTGTCTGGTATTTGATTACAGCAATGAGAAAAGTAATGAACCCATAAATGAATAAAAATATTGTCAATTTTATTTAATTGTAATTAAATTTAGGAGGTGAATTTCACTGTGGAGACGTTTTACTCTTTGGAAGTTATGTAATATAGTACACTGATTAAACAAAAGCATACACAATATCTCTAATAATAATTATAACAACATTAATAAAATTTAAGCTGGACATTGTGGTACATTCCTATTAATACCAGTACTCAAGAGTTTGAAGCCACTTTGGGATACATACTGAGATGCTGACTCAAATTCCAACCGAACAAAAGAAACTTAATTCCTTTCATCTAATAGAAGCTTGGCACCATTTGCCCATCAATCATCTCCCAATCCTCTCACCATGCAGCCTTGGGTGGCCACCATTCTATCCTGTTTCTTTGAGTTCAATTGTTTTACATTTCAAATATAAGTGAAAAAAGTCATACTTATGTTTCTGTGGCTGGTTTATTTCACTTCTAAAATTCTATTTATGCTTCCACAGATGGCAAATAATCACTTTTGTTTAATAGTATATGTGGAGAAGATTATAAATAATGTACATTCCCACAATTATTTGAAAGGCAAAACTTAAGGTTCTTGCCATAGAAAATAAGTATTTTAAGTGATGGATATGTTGATTAGGTTGATTTAATTGTTTTCCATTGTATTTATATATCATACCATAACCTTGTACCTCATGAATATATATAAAACTACAATTGGTCAGTTTACAATTGAAATATACATTATGAAAAAATAAAAATAAAGAAAACCAAATATCAATCAGCCTCCTTGACAAGAACTGTAGAAGTAGACAAAAAATTCTTTCTACTGGAGACCTGGTCTCAGAGTACAGGAGAACTTTAAACAGCATTTGTTCAAAAAGCTTCCTAAAGACATATTAAAATTAGTTGATTGTATGGGTATTTTAGAATTTCGGTCAAGTGGATGTTGTGGTATTAATCACATCCAATCTGTGAACATGTTTACTATATCACTTATTAGCTCAATTTAAACCTTAATTTATGTGATGAAACTGCTTCCTTCCAGACCACTTAATAAGTGAAACATCTGTCCAAGCGAAATTTCTATTCAGTCACTAACACAACTAAGTTAAAAGTAAGCACTCTAGAGAAATTCAACATGTTTATGTTATGATATGGTTTTACTTTTATTAGAAGTCATTGTCAGAGATTTGTTAATAAAATGCTGGCCAGAAAATGATTTTCTTCTGTTTTGTTTGCTTCATATTTGATGCACATATATGTGGTATATGTATGTGTGGTATGTGTGTGCACATACACATGTGTGAGTCTTTCTCACTCTGTATGTGCGTGTGTATGTGTGTTAGTGTGTGTGTATAAGTCACAGGTTGATATCAAGCATTTTCTTCAGTTGCGCTCCAACTTCTTTTCTGAAACAGGGTCTCTCGCTGAACATGAAGCCCACTATTTCAGCTAGGCGCAGTTAGCCCTTTGTCTCTGCCTCTCCAGCACTGGGCTTCCAGGTATGTTTCACAGGCCAGGCTTTTCACATGGGTGCTGGAAATCCCAACTCAGGTCTGTACGCTTCCTTAGCAAGCCCTTTAGCAATTCAGCCATCTTTCCAGTCCTTGTTTTGCTTTTGCTGTGCAGTTGAGGGTACCCTTGACTTGCGCTCCACTTCCTAAGTTCTTAGTGTCCAGGTGTGTACCAGCACACTAGGCAGAAAGCCATTTGAATACAGGCTCTATCTATCATTATTTAATAACGACTCATTTGCATTCAGTCTGCCTGAGCTGTACTCATAGTCCATCAGAAAACATTTTAGAAACATTAGTTCATATTTGCAAAAGTCACGAAAGCATCTTTTCACAGGAGGATCTCTAATTTTTCATGCAAATATTTTCCTTCTTCAGTATTTATGAAATGTTTGAAAAGCATAAACAACTTTAAGATAATTTAATATTATAGACATTTTCTTCTCAGAAGTGCTTTTTGCAAGCCAATTAAATGCTTCCTAGATTACAGGCAGTAATTTATGTGTGTTAGAGATTTTCTTAAGTCAGTGGAGTACTTAGGAAAGCAACTAATAAGACAATAGCAGACACCGACTTTTACAAAATAAAGCCTAGTTTATTTTTGCTAAAAAACCTTCCCCACATTCCCAGCAAACTGTTTATAATTTTGCAGGATGATTGCTGTGAGACACAAGGTTGCAAATATGTCAGAGCTTTGATCTCTGGGAAGGCTATTAACAGCTACCATGCCTGATGTCCTATTTTATGATATAGTTACTCATGCCACAGGTATTGCATCCATCAGCTTTCCTCATAAGGATTTGGGATTAGTTAACCCCCAGAAATATGAATTTCTACCAATGCATCTCAATCAGAATGCTATAACAACTAAACTTTATATTAATAAAATGCACTATAGAGAACATTCTTTTAGTTTGTTATAATAAATCCCAAGCACAGAAGATGAATTCAATATGGGAAAGTTTAAAATGCTGGAGCTTCTAATACTAATTGAATTTATACAAATAAACACTTGGGAGACTATTAAAATTATTTCCAGAGACAAATTAATTTATTCAATTACTTTCTAAGCAACTGCTTACTAAACATCTATGTGCCAGGCTCCCCATCCAAGTAACACCTAGGTGATTAAAACACATTTCTGCCTTCAAGAAACTTATTATGAATATACTTAAGAAATGAAAAAAATAATTTTCACCCCTAAACAAAGAACACTAGTGTATTTATTTAAATAGAGTATAGCAACTTTATTCAAGGTATTAAATTTCTAAACTGATATGTTCTACAGCAATGTTCAAAATATGCAATGGCAACTCGAGGCCCAAAGTTCACAGCTGGTAAATGGAAGCATATGAAAATAATGTATAGATAAATAGATTTTTGCTATATATGTGTACAAATATTGTGAATTCAATGAAAGAAGCCTAAATGTGATGGAGGTAATTATAAAGAATGACCCATTATGGGATCTCCTGCTCCCACACTGGAAACATTGGATTACTAAACTGTCTAGTAGAGTTCAATGCAAGCATTCACTGCTTTTTCTGCTCTTCCCTACCCGGTCTTAAGCTGCAAACTTTCTCAAAGGAACTCCCACTGAAAAGGGGAGAGGTACGTCCTGGAAAAGAATCCTCTATGTTTCAGTCCAACCCTGTTTGACCTGTTCAGGAGTGCTAAGTGGGGCACACTTAACAGCTGTGCAATCCAGTCCTCTCGCCTGCACTTTCCACAGCCCGTGCCAAGCAGTGACCTGGTCTGCAAAGTCATTTTAATCCTGAACTCAGTAGTTAGAAGTATTATATGACCACAGGGGAGTATTAGTATGATCTCTTCAAACTGAAAACCAGCAACTTTATAATTCAGCTAGTTGGGAATACAGTTTATTTTCATTGAAAATTTATGATAAGATCACATTATATATTCTAGGCTGGCCTTGAATTAATGGAGCTCCTCCTGCCTCAGACTGGTGAGCGCTGGGATAACAAGTAGGACCTACTATATCTACACATAAATGCAGTTTAAATACATAATTTTATTGTGTTCTTTGACCACTCAGAAATAAATTTCAAGAGACAATTTCCCTTTGTGTCTATAACACTCAATATTTTAAAGCTTGTAATGCTATGAACATTAGGAAAACAAAATGTACAATGGCCTAAAATTCAGTTAAACTAGTCTAAAACTGCAAGGATTTTTTTTTGATGAAAGTGAAAGCTGTTTTCTAATTAAATGGTGGTCTTTGTTACTATCATAAGCTTTAAATTCTGATTATACTCCACAAAAAGAAACTTGGTATTTAGAAAGAAGCACTGTGTGCCAAAATTTCAGAAAGCCCAAAGTTTCCTAGCAAGATAGGCTGCTGAGTAACAAGGGGAGAGCACTTTCACACACAAAAACAAATTGACAGATTGATAACTTATGTCAAAATTGAGTAAAAACAAATTATTCGTGACACACTATCAGAGGATGCCTTCCAATTTAGTAACAAGTGGCATTAAGAAAAGGTCATCTCTATTCATATTCACCCTGTATTTTCATTGGGAAGTGTTTTTCAAATTCTTAAAAAACGATATCAGGTATAGTCTTAAAGACAGTCTTGGAAGAAACTGAAATCCAATATAAAATTAGCAATGGACACTGGAAAAGAAATTCTCCCATTTCCTAACATGTTCTTGTTACTGTTGTGTTTATTTTGTTTGAGGGAGGGTCTTTCAATGTTGTCCAGCCTGGTTTTAAATTGCTGCGCTAAAGTGATGCTCCTGCCTCATCACCACATATACCTGGGACTTCATGTACACACCACCACCTCTCTCAGCTTTACCATAAATTTCACATTTACCCCCACTATATGTTGTTCCCACTTGAACACAATCAATGCCAATTTTTAAGCCAGTAAACACTTGTTATTAAAAACCATAACAACCAAACAAGCCAGCAGTATTAAAATGTCCAACATTTTGACTAATTTTCAAGTTGCCTGAGATAATAAGGACAGAGACCCAGATTGCCTTGTCTATCAGATGAGGAAATCAGAGGCACTATAAATCTTTCCCACTCAATAGCTCCCCTTAATGAGTTCAGAACTTGAAATTCCCTTTACCTTATAATCCAGGAGAGAATTCACTTGTTCCACCTCGGAATTGCTTATCATGTCACTTTCTTCAGCATCAATAATTTCTATTTTCTGTAACATAGGCAACAAATATATATCAGATCACTATACACAATGTGTCCAACATATTTATTGAATATTTAGTTTTGGTGACAGAGAGATTTAGGTTATCTGGATTAAACTTTGATAATTGGCTCCTTGGTGTTACACACAGGACATGTCTGTGTTACCCCTTATGTCTTTAATTTGTGATTGATATGGCCCTTCTTGGATAAGGAACTAACTTTTAATCTCTCTCTCTCTCTCTCTCTCTCTCTCTCTCTCTCTCTCTCTCTCTCTCACACACACACACACACACACACACACACACACACACACGAAACAGGTTCCTTTACTGTCTCAACATGACCCTTCCTTCTAATGAAAATGTTAACATATGGCATGCATCCCAAAGGAAAATACAAGGTCTAAAAATTCACATATTTAATGTGCTCCATTAGCTAGACATTTGAAGCAGCCATCTATGATAGAATGCTGAAAATTGAATGGGGATTTGTTTTCTTCATTGGACAGTAACAAAGAGAGCAAGGAGAGGACAGAGAGGAGAGAGGTTCCCCTAGCTTCAGAATTAAGGCACAACAAAAAAAGGCTTGTGAAGTATCTTGTGTACCATAGATAAGAAGTAAATATCTGTCAAAAGGTAAACAATACATCTCAGTGCTGATTAAAAGAATTACCAATAAGCTCCAACTGGAAGGATAAAACAAATTATTTAGTAAGAAAACCTTTTAAAAAATAAAGAAAAAAACAATAAAATTAGTTTAAATATTATCCTTTGCATGTAAAACAATGTAGTTAAGGGGAAACAAACTGTACCTTAAAACATTTAAACACTGCCAAACAAAAGTGAGGTTTAAAAAGAGGGAAGATAAATCAGATTTAGTCAGTAGTCAGTATTTTAAGAACAAGCACATTAACAGCAGCATGTCATAGGCAGAATATGAAATTAGACTTTCTACCTGGGAATATATATTATATATCTATATTCTATATATATGATTAAAATATATGTGATTAAAAGTCACAAACAAACTTAGAATCATCGTACTTGATATACTGCTGTTGAGGAAATGATATCATCACAGGGCTTTTGACCTGCTTTCTGTGAGTCAGGGACAGCTGCAGTGAAATTGCCTTCTACCACTGCGTGGAGATGTGTCTAATGCTTTTTTTTTTTCTATTAGAATCAGGATAAAGTTGAGTCTTAATCATATCAGTCTTCTCTAGGCTTTACACTTCATACTTCTTGTTCTTAGGTTTTTAGATTTGCTACCTCTTTGGATTGATTCTGGAAAAAATAGAGGCAGGCATTTAAGAAAAGTAGGTACCAACAGCCACTGTATGGAGTTGTGCATATAAATGGGTCTTATATGTCTCTGGGATTTGTCATCCATGAATAATTGGGGGCACTCAAAAGTTACAGGGAGAGAAGATCAACATTTGAAAGTTTGAAGTTTTGTCTCTGAAAATCAATTGTTCTTGAAAAATTAGGTGCCGAAATGACTATGAGTCATAGCATGCCACGACTTCATTTATTATTTTTAGTTGTCTGCTGCTGGGGAGATTCAATGTAGAGAAATTCAGGCTAGAAGTGAACATATCTTTGGAAGAAAAGATATTTCAATTGTAAATAATTATTTACATTTAATATGCTATAATTAAAATCTAGAGCAGAAGGAGATATTTGGCAAGATTTAAAATATTAGGAGAGTTCAATGTGGAAAACAATGATTATAAGTCATTTGATAAAAAAAAAAACTGCCTTAAAATCAAACCTAATTTTTCAATATGTCTGTTGAATTAAAAGTCAATGAAATGCAATCCAGAACTCTATTTTAGATGTAGAAAATAATGCTAGATATTGTTGGTATTTAACAAATATGAGCCCAAATATATATTGTATGTGTTCTGCTTTTATTAAATAGATGTTTAGGATTATAGGGCCAAAGAAATAATATCTGTCATAGAAGTTACAATAAACTATGACATCACAACTACTTTGTAAATGAAAACTCCATTATATGTGCAATTTTAATGAAAATTATGCATAGAACATTGATTCAAAAGCAAAAATGAAAATTTAATGGAGTTTCTTTTTGTGTCTGACATTGTTTAATACTATCTTGATTTCTGTATCATTTTGTGGGGCCAAAATATAAACAAATTCTGCTAAAACAGCTGCTAAGGGAATATCACTATATGTTTACATTTTTTCCAATCCAGTTTAATCCACACACAGCCTGTTCCTGCTGCTATTCAAATTCTTAAAATATTGTCTTTCTTTCTTTGCTGTGATTTTGAACGCAATTACCAGAGTCCAATTTAACCAGGGAAAAGAAAAGTTTCCAAATACAGTATAGATAGGTACAGTCTAAACAGACAAACCCTTGGATGCAAGCACTTGTACTAACAAAGGCTTCCTCCACAATCGCCACCTAAACTCCACTTCAATTCTGCCATCTGTCAAATGAAATGAATCTGCTCCCTTATCAGTGTGTTTAAGAAAAATAACTTGTTATATGTAAAATATGTCATATTTGAACTAAGTTTTAGATTTTCATACTTGGAAATCTCCTAAAGTTAAAAAATGAGAAAGTGTTTAAATTTTACTTATTGAACACTGAAAGATATATTAAATTCATAGGGAACAAAGCTCTGCTTTAGTTTACAGAGTAAAACAAAACTTTATTGTGACAATACAGATGGTGTCATCAACTGGCACAATGTTCTTAAAGTCCATCCTGTAATGAGGAAAGAATTTCAATCTACATACCACATTATCTGCAGATACTGCCTGGTGCACTTCATCCTTCTGCGTCCTGGTCTCATCAGGGATGATGTCACTGGGCTCCTCTATAAGAAAAAAAGTGAAGATTTCATATCTTGTATCTCAAAACTTCACTGAAGTTTTAAAATAATACTTAAATAATGCCTCCTTTACCAAAAACATACACATAGCAAATCTATTACAAATGTGCTTTGTTGTGAATTTTATTCATATCCGAGTCATGTATAGTTTAGTTAGTTATGCGGATGGATAGAAATACAAGGATTATCATCACTCTTCTATTTCTAACAGAAAAGATGAGAGAAAACTCTAGCTTTAACAGTGGACAAGTACAGAAGGCATTTAAGTACTATAAAGTTGCTAAAAATGAAATAAAATGACCAAGTAGCAAATGAAAAACTGAAAATGATAAGATCTATGATGTAGGTTTACATAATTTTGTATTTGTAAAAGAAAAAAGTAGGTTTTTAATGAATTAAAAAAAGAATGATACCATTTGTGCTCAAGTGTTTCTGTTATTATGCCTGGATAGAATTATATATAACTATAATAGTTTTTACTTTAATTTTTAATTTTTTAAATTTTGTTTAGTTAAGCTCTTTTGTAACAATACTCATTTTTGTTTTCTTTTCTTTCCTATTTTTTGTTGATAAGGTCTTATTACATAGCCCTGGCTGACAAAAAAAAAAAACTCAATGTAGACCATATTAACCTTAAAGTTTCAACAATTTTCCCACTTCTGCATTTTAAGTGGTGAATTTACAGGCCTTTTTACTACTCCTGGCTTTGCTCATTGTAATAAAACAAAAGCAAAAATTTCTCAATAAATGGCATAAAATTACAAAGGCAGATTTCCATTTATGAAAATGCAGGTTCATTTAAGTACTAGTATACACATGCTTACTGTTGTACATACTTGTACATATGCAAAGAGAAAACACTTGCAAAAATATGCCCTTGCTCTTGTTTACACAGAGTTTTTCACTAAGGAGTAAGAGTCTTTCCATTTTCATGGTACTTCCAAATATTTCCTACAATGGAGATTCATTTTTTGGATCAAATTCAATATTTTACAATAATAAAATAGAGACAAATGATATTAATTTAGAGGATCTACTCTAATAAAAAGCTCTTTGTGATGAGCTACAGCAAGTGCCTGCTTCAAGGCCTGGGTGAGTCTGCATACATTACCCCTTAACCTCTTTATTTTATAATACCCTGTCCCAGATGCTTTCAAAACAGAGTAGCAGTGCTTATCTCTGGGTCTCTCTTCTCTTCACAGCAATTTCATGGAGATTATTTGGATAAATACTAGTAAAATTCCTCAGATCCTAGGTAAACAACATTTTAATTCAATTTATAAAGCAAAACAAAAATTTTTTATCAGCCCTCCTAAGATTTTCCTAGTCCATTCATTCCCACGTAGAAACATTGAGAAGGATTAGGAGAAATTCACTTAGGAGAATTGCTTATGAGAATTCAAGTGTATGCTATCCAAGAAAACTTCAGCAGAATTTTAATACAATGTTTGGTATAAATTCAATTTAACTTTCTTATCTCTACCATACACTTTAAATTAAATTTTATTGTATGTACATGTGGTATATAACACAATATACATTTATATAGCAGAAAGACCACTATAATGAAATAAATTAACATATTTATCATTTCACAGTTTCCCATCCCCCAGGCAACACCTGCTATCATCACATACTGAAAATCCTGACTACACAATACATTATCATTAACTATGGTCTTCACGCTCTTCATTAGGTTTTTCCCCTTATTCATCACACACACTGCAAGTTTGTACCCTCTGAGCTGTATCTCCGTTCTCCCCTCCCCATTCAAAAATCCACTGTTGTATTATATTTGATTTATTTGACCTTCCTTGCCCTGCTATATGCTGCAACACGGATGAACCCAGGGGATGTTAACTAAGTGAAATAAGCCAGACAGACAGAAAGAAAAAAATTGCATGATCTCATTTATTTGTGAAATGTAAGGCAAGTCAATTTAAAATTTTATAAAAGCAATGAATCCCAGATAAAGAAAAGTTTACCTAGTCATTATTTAGACATTTCAAGTCACAGACATTTCAAGTCCTACATAATCAGTGATGCAATGAAATGGAAAGAGGGAAATTTTTCATTAGCTTTAGCTGCAGATCTGATATTAGATATAGTGGTCTCAGAAGAGGGGTTATATTGCTCATCAACAAGATCATTACTGGTACTATTCCTTACAGGATTGCTGTACACTTCTTCAGATTTACTCATAACTTTATATACAGTTCTGGTTCACTGACAGCTTATTTATGCATGGTTTGATTATTTTAGGAAATTTAAATAAAAGCTATTTTGAGGCTTCTGAAATAAGAAGGTGCAGAGTGATAAACTGAATAGGGATGCTTCCTTCTGCATATAGATGCTTGCAGCATCAACGAAAGTTTAAGATCCAGACACTGTCAATGTGTTTTGGTAATTCCTCAAAACAAGCAGCTTTGTTCATTGAAAAATAAAAAAATAGAATTAATCAGTGAAACTTTAGAGGGCACCCTATGTAAACCATGGGGAGTTATCTTTTTAATGCATGCAGTCTCCACACTCCACATACTAAGATACAGTTGAAAAAGAGGCACTTCTACCAATGTAATGGTGTATCAATTATTTCTATACTTTAAACCATCTGCCTCTCAGGATAGTGAAAAATCTTTAAATTTCTCAATAATAAATATATTTTGGTAGAAAACAAAGTTAAAATGAAGGAGGTGAGTTAGCCAAGTATTATTTTTGCTGAAGTTTCCAAGTTGTACATAAGGGGTGGAGCCATGTAGCTTTTCCTTCCTTGCCAGATCAGTCCACCCATGCCTAGCTTCACTCCTCCCAGGAAAACAGAAAAGAAATGGGGAAGCGCAAGGTCAAGCACAAGGTAGAACTGATTTGGGTCAGAAGGTCTGTGTCAGGGACCGACAGGCTTACTCAGAAACAAAGGATTGCATGTGAAATTGTTAAGGGATCATGAACACTTTTGGTTAGCCAGCAAAGCTAGCCCCTTCTCACAATTTGAAGGAATATATTTTTTTCTTGTAAAGACACTGAAAGAAACTGTATGGTTTTTTCGTGTGTTTGGTTTAACATGTATTATAATATGCAAGCACCAATTTAAAAGTCTTTCCCCTTTTAGACATTTAAAATACTCTAATCCTGTTAAATTAACAGTTGTGTACAACGACTATGAATTCTAGTCATTATGTTTTTGAATTATCTTTATAACTCTAATAAGACATCAATGCAAATCTCAATGTAAACATTATCTAGCTACATTTTCCCAAACTGGAAGAGAATATAGGTCAGTGCATTTTAGAGCTAGGGCATTAGTCTCAGCCAGACGATATAATTAGTTCTTACAATAAGATCACATAGCCAACTCAGTCAGATTAGTATTCTCCATCAGCAAAATGAAGAAATTGTACAGGCCTAGTAGGAAACAGCACCAAAGTGGCTCCTTCCAGTCTTTGAAAATGCTTTTCTGCTGCAATTTCTGATGAGAATGAAAAGGTTACTGTGCAGTTGTGAAAAATAAGCCACCAGGGGAATTGTTTACGTCTCATCCTGTGTTTTTTGATTCATACATTAAATTCTTTCTCTTCTTTTTCTCATTAGGTCTTGATTACTATGCCAGCTATCTATACAGCATACTATTATATGACAAAGGATGCCAGTAGAGGAGCAGTGGTTTATTAAATGAAGACCATTAACACAGACCTTCAAATTAACATGCACTGTTTTCGCATTAAGTGCTGATTTTCTAAAATTCTGGTTCAGGAGGGGAAGTAGCAGTTGGGAATGAAACTCTGCACTCAGGGGCCTATGCCTTTTGATTCCTCAGAGTATGCCCTCTTAGCAAGCCTGCCTTTTCAGAGAAACATACAAACCTCTTCTTCCTTACTCACTTCAAATAGCTGTCGGGCATTGGGCTCTTAAAGACCCCATCATGTAATTACTGCTATCCAAGAATCTCTAGGCACATAGAATTTTGGAAAGACTAACAGAAGACAAACACATATTTACTAGACCAACCATATGAGGACAAATGACCTTAGAAATCATACAAGATTTTTTTTTCTTAATGATTGTTAAGCCTGCATCAGTTCCTGCCCCTCTAAGTTCTGCTATCATTTGTAGCCTTAGGTGAGAAAGATGGAGGAGGGTAGGAGAGGAAGAAGGAGGGAGAAGGGAGAGGGGAGGAGAGAAAGAGAGAAAGAGGTAGAGTCAGAGAATATTCACATTTGATAATCTTCCAAACACCTGGACTTAAAATTCGCTGTCCTCTCAACAGTGACAATTTTTCTCTGTCCCTATCATTATTCTACTTATTACAATTTGCCTGCCTGCCCCCTGGGCATGCAATTAATTGCTTTTGGAAAGAACCTCTTAAAGACTGATTCAATGGCCTCTCCTTTCTACTCAATTTCTATGATATCATTGAGATAATGACCCCTCTTATTTCTGAAATCTCTTTCTTTCCTTGGTTTTACTTATAGCACACTATCCAGCTCTGTTCTTCCTGAAGGTTCTTTCAGCAGCTATTTTTCCCCCTGGGCCCCCAAAATGTAAATATTTCTCAACATACAGTCTTTCTCCATTGTCTTGTCTTGTTTTGTTTGGGGATTTTAATTTTCTCAATCAAAACTCTGCTTTTGTGGTGAGGTACTAATTAGCCTATGTTTGTCAAATTGCTGTTTCTTCTCCCTACTTAAAGCTCCCTTTTGAGTTCCAGACCCATATTACCCAACAGGTCTCTGTGTATTTGCTGCTATTTTCTAAGCCTCAGAACTGCAAACCAAATTAATCTTTATAATGATAGCCTGTCTATTTAATGTGATAGGAGTAAAAATTTTGCATACATTTTGAGGAGGAAATTGTGAGAAGATATAGGTAAAGAATTTTACAGCTCATCTAAAGCTAAAATAAAAACTTTACCAGATAGTAAGAGATTTTATAAAGCCACAGTTAAAAACAGATAAATGTAACATAATAGGAAGTTCAGAATTTTCTCATGTGTTTATGTATGTGTACCTGAATATGCATATGTATAAATACATAATTAATTTTTGAAAGCTGTACTGTAATTAACTGGACAAAGAATGAATTATGCAACAAATAGTGTACAACCGCTGCTGAACTATTTGGAAAAGTAAAATTAGGTATTTTCCTCACACATCTTAAGGCAAAGTAAATTCTCAGTGAAATTAATATAAAATTGTTAAACTAAAGCCATAAGGATGCCAGAAGCGAATATATGAGCTTATTTTCACAACTGTATGCAAGAAGATACTTTAATTAGGAATGCAAAGGAAGAAACCACAAGGGAAAATATTGCTATGTCTGACAATGTAAAAATTATACCCCAAATTTTTACCATGAAAAATCAGTACCAGGAGGTAGTGATAGGAGGATCAGGAAAAATGACAAATTCTAATTCAAAATAATCAAATCTAAACTTCATCACTTCAATAATGCATCTTGTTATCCTACATAATGTCATGTTGATAAAGCTATACCATTAATAATACTTTGATTATTCTCCTTATTCCCCAAAAGAGGAGTTGTTCACCTTGCTCTTCAACCTGGGGTGATAATGTTTTGTAGTCACCCTCCTCTCTACATTGGAGCTTCTGAGGTATCTGAGGTAACTGGTTAACTGACATTCCAGAGCTCACAGAAAGACTCAGTAAGAACACAAAAGTTATGGCTGCTGCCAAATTTATTCTTGATCTAATTGCTAAAAATGATTTTGTATAATCAGTTATTACCCTAACATATAATTTTATATCACACAAATAATGCCACTCTTGAAGATGACTAGTATTGATAGGCAAAAAAGCACACGCTACTCATCCAAGCTCCTGGGAGGTAAGGGTTGGGAAGTCCAAGACTAGTCTTTTTCAGCACAGTGAGTGCAAGCCAGTTTTTCTCTCTCTAGCTCTCTCTTCATGCATATGGATATGAATATATATGTGTAGATGAATCATAAAAAGTTAAAAGTCAAGGAAATAAACAAGGGGTTGGTGAGATGGCTCCATGGGCAAAGCACTTGCCACATAACCGTAAGTGGGGACAGTTACCATATAACCATATGGAGTGGAGTGGGGATGGTTGCCCACCAGTAATTCTAGTCCAGTGGATCAGAGGGAGACAGGGAATTCCCAGAACAAGCAAGCTAGAACCATAAAAGAGATCTCTGGGTTTGTGTGTCCCTACACACATCAAACACATGTATACACACAAAACAGATAAATAAACCAGAAAATAATTTGTCAATATACTTAACTGATATCAATGAAAAAAAAAACAAGCAAATGAGAGGTTCTTAATTTCTGAAGCACAGATACAAAAGGACTATAGTTTTTATTATCAGATTCTGAGAAAGTGCATAAGAAAGACACACTTACATAGACAGAAAGCAGGTTAGTATGCTTGATGCTGAGGACAGAAAAGGCAGTGAGTCAACATGGGGAGTTTCCTTGGTTGATTACAAAAAGATCTAAAATAAAATTTTAATGGTATAGATCTAAAAACTTTACTAAAAATGACTGAATTTTATATTTATGAGGAATATTTTCATGATATATAATATAAATATGATACCAGTACTATTTATTTCTGTGCTCAAAATTAAATCGAATATTCTTCTTGGGTACATGGTATTAATCTTGGCTCTAGCACGCAGACTTATTCAGGGAATCATTGAGAGGTAATACAAAGATGAGCCTGTTTAACTTCCTTTAATAGGCAAAGAAGGGAAGTCTAATGAGCAGAGTTAAATACTTTGCCTGACACTGTACAGTTTGCTAGGGGAAAAGCACTGAATAGCAACTAGTATCTCAGCTCACAAGCCTATTATTCATCTTAATATACCATACTTGTTGAAATATTTGGAAGCTCTCGCCTAGCTGATTAGAATTCCAAATGTAATCATTTACCTGATTCTAGTATAAGGACTGTTGTAATAGCTAACATTTTTTAAAAGTAGGGTATCACTACTGTGATAGATGAATATTCTTTGTGATGACTTGATATGGAAGACTTTTTACATAGAAACATTAAAAACAAATCTGTTTCTTTCAAACACTTGGTCATAAGTAAAGAGAACACGCTTTACTTAGAGTGCAGTACACTGAAAAGCAAGTAAAAATATAAGAATTTTCCAAAGGCTGTTATTAGGAGATGCAGTAAAGTACCTTGAGAGCTTGCTTCGGACAAACAGATGGACACTTCATCATTTCTGTCATTATCCTCTCCTACTTCAGGCCCAGCTTCCTCTCCTGGTGTGAGTGCAGACAAAGAACCAGACTCAGGCTGCTCAGAGAAATCAGCAGGGCCTCCTCTTGGAGGTGGAACTTCAATTCCCATTAAACGATATTTTCTTCTTCGATTCCCAATCCAAGTCTTTGTAAGAGAAATATAAGCAATTTTAGACAACCCAGGCATTAGAATAACAAACAAATGAAGCGTAAAATATGATTAGAAAGGACACATAAACACATGAAGCACTAAAACTTTATGGCACTAAGCAAAACTAAAAAATTGTTTTTAGCAAAAGAGAGTATCTATTTAAATATTTAGACTTTCAAATGGCATGCAGGCTATTAAACATTGCTTTTGTTCCTGTTTTTTATTTTTATTTCTAAGGAAAATAATTTACCAAATTCTTAAAATGGATAAATGAATTTAGGCTTACAGCTACAACTGTCGCTCATGTTCCCTCTCTGTATATCTTTGGCTTCAAAATACCTGCTTCTAGTAGTCTAAATTTTTGTTTTTATTAGACTTAGAACCAATTAAAGATGGTTATTTTTTAATCAATATTTGGAACCAAACTCAGAGAGACAAATAAACTATTACTGAACTATATCACTAGTCTTAATTTTTGTTGCTTTTGTGCAGTCTTAAAGAAAGACTCCCACCCTGTAATCCAGGCTGGCCAGGAGCTCACAACACAGCCTGTACTACCTTAAACTAAAAGCAATCCTTTTGCCTTCGTCCTCTCAGTGCTAAGATTACAGGTGCAAGAAACCATGGCTAGCTCAAATACATTTTATCAAGATAAAAAAATAAATGATGAGTCACAAATTTTTCAAATTTCAGAGACATATTTTGTTTATTCTTCACTTTGCTTCTTGTGAATTATGACTTAAAGTATTATAGAACAATATCAAAAACAGTAGGCCAAGTGTGGTGAAACATGCCTGCAATTCTAGCACTCGGGAGGTTGAGGCATTAAGATTGCTGTGAGTTTAATGTTAACTTGGGATACACAAATAGTACCAGGCCAGTCAGGGCTACTTAGCAAAACACACACACACACACACACACACAGAGAGAGAGAGAGAGAGAGAGAGAGAGAGAGAGAGAGAGAGAACTGGACATATTTTGTGCCCAGATTTTGGCTATAACATATAATATTCCTATAAAAAGTCATATATAACTTTTTGTATGGATATAAATTTTCATTTTATATTCTTTTTTTTAACAATGTATGAAAGATATTTCCAATGTTTAATCATATCAAGATATATGTATATATATTATTCTATTATTCCAGGGTTTAATTATATTGTTATGCTGAGTATTGAACCCAGGGTTATACTTATGCTAAGCAAGGCTCAATCACTAAAATTCATGGAATTCATTTTGGTTTTACTAATGACTAGTAATGTTAAAAATCATTCCACATGTTTGTTTGCTATTCCTATAGCCTCTTCAGTAAAATGTGTCTTCTAACTGAAGTATTTAAGGGAGTGTTTTGCATTTTTAAATACTCTGTATTAATTCTTTGTTAGATATGTGGTTGACAAATATTTTATCCCAGTGTATAGCCCGAATTTCTATTCCATTTCTGCAGCATAAATATAAAACATCTTTAAAATCCACCTCCCCTGAAGTTGTTGGTCAGAGGTGTGCCAGATACCCTCAAAATAATGCAGGCTGCTGCCATTGCTCTTGGTTGCCTACCAGAACGTGATGGTAAGACCTTATTGCTGAAGACACTCCACACTATAGTCACAGAACATGGAGGAATTAAGTTAGTACCAAGTAGGAAGCTTCCTCCTGGCTGACTAGCAGTCATGGTACCAGGAGATGTCATGTTGGGTGCTGAGAGCAAAAAGTCCTCAAGAGTCCTAGCGAGCTGTGAATGCGATGAGGTCCACTGCTGATCAGTGTGGCAAGACACTGTTGCCAGTGAAACAGTGGTACAAATGTTGTGGGAATAATCAACCATTTTCTGATTGGATTAAAGGCCTGCTCTATGAGAGAAAACGCTTACCTAGTTCTGTAAATCCGGTGAAGAACCCGTGGGTCGGGAGATCACAGGCGCCAGAGGGGACATAGTATCACACTGTCTTGAAATTTGTATCCTTTTTGCTGTTCTTATTCATTTATTTGTTTATTTTTACATCCCAACCAAAGTTTCACTCCTTTCCTTCCAGTTCCTCCTCCTTCCTCCTCTCCTTTCCCACTCACTCCTCCTTCTTTGCTTCTCTTCAGATAATGAATTTCAGTCAGTCAGTCATGGTATAACAAGTTGCAGTGAGACTAGCACCTCCTTTCCTATTAAGGCAACCCAGTAGGAGTAACTGGTCCCAAAAGGCAACAGAGTCAGCAACAGCCCCTGATCTCACTGTTAGGAGTCTCACAAGAAGACCAAGTTACACAACTGTCACATATACACAGAGTGCCTAGGTCGGTCTCATATGAGCTCATTAGTTGTCAATTCAGTCTCTGTGAGCCCCGATAAATGCAGGCTAGTTGAGTCTGTGGATTTTCTCGTGATGTTCTTGACTCCTCTGGCTCCTACAGTCCTTCCTCTCTCTTCAACAGAATTCCCTGAACTTGGTCTAATATTTGGCTCCCATCAATTGCTGGGTGAAGCCTCTCTGATGACAGTTGGGCTAGGCAACAATGTATGATTATAGCTGAATACCCTTAGGAATCATCTCATTAATCTTTTTTCTTTCTTTGCCAGTCATGTTTGGTTCTATCCAATTTGTGTCTTTATACCCACAGATTGGTACAGTTCCCAGATCTCATTAGAGAAATGTCTTTGTGCAGTGCATGGCAGTTAATGTAGAAACTCACAACTAATGAAAGTATGGAGAATAAGCGTGCACGGTGTGTATTCAACAAATGAGACATCTATATTCCACTCTTCCCTCCAAGGCTCAGTGAGTATTTCAGAAGAAGAAACTGAACAATTTTAAGAAGAGAGACATACATAGATCTAATCTACAAGGGAAGTAGAAAAAGACAAGATCTCCTGAGTAAATTGGGAGCATGGGGACCTTGAGAGAAGGTTGAGGGGGAGGGGAGAGGCAGGGAGGGGAGCAGAGAAAAATGTAGAGCTCAATAAAAATCAATAAAAAATAATTAGAGGTTTGGAAGGAGCAGAATGAAGCAATGTTGTCAGGACATTCAACTGTGGTTCTCATGAATTCACAGCAGATGTGGTTGGCTACACAACTTCAAGCCAATCAACATTTCAACATGGAGGATAAGTGGCTCACTCATAAACCTCTATCCTAAGTTGAATAGGTATTAGCAGTTTCTGAGGCAAGGAAAGTGAGTTTTCTTTAAGGTGTAAGCCACTGGCAGGTTGGCAGCTTCCAGTTGATGGCTTTATATCCATGAGTATATGACCAGTATGAACTGGACTTTTTTAAAAAAAATAGGACATGAGAGATAGAAAGGGAGTAGATCAGGATAGAAGAGATGGGAAGGAAGTGGGATGAGTAGATGTAGGGGAAACTGTGTTTAGCTAGATTACATTTATAGAAAGTAATCTATATTTAATCAAAGGGGAAAAGACATGAAATTGGGAGGAAGTGGATCTGAGAGAAGTTATAGGGTTGTTGGGGATTAATATGATCAAAATATATCATATATATGAAATTTTCAAATGATTAATAATTTCTTTTGGGTTTTTGAGACAGTGTATATTGCTATAGTCTTTGTAGATACAAAATAAATAATAAAGGAACTATATAAACAACTCTGTACACACATTGGATAACTTGGATAAGATGGAGCAGTTCTTTCAAAAGTGCACATTACCACAGTATGAACAAATTACTTGACTAGTAATTTAACTGTTAAGACAACTTAGTTCAGCATTAAAAACTATCCTGTAAAGAACTCCCCAGAACTCCACAGCCTGCAGATAGTTTCATGCTTGATGGTAAAAAGTAGAAGAATCTAAAAAAAATTCTAATGAGAGTAAACAAGATATCCATTCTGATTACTTGTACTCAGCATAGAAGTGATTTTAACACACATACCAGTTTATGGACAGTACAGGAGCATACACAGACCAGAAAGGAAGAACTAAAGCTCACCCCATTTGCAGAGTAGAGGATATAGTTTATGATCCCACGGAATACTCCAACAACTAGTGAGTGAAATTAGCAAGTGAGAATACTAATCATCACAAAGAAACCAATTGGCTTTCTATGATCTATGTAGTAAAAGTAAACATCCTGACCTGGATATGTTAGCGCACATCTTTAATCCTAACACACTCTGGAGACAGAGGCAGGTAGCTCTCTGTGAGCTTGAGGCCAGCCTGGTCTACAAAGTGAATTCTAGGACACACAGGGCTAAATAGTGAAATCTTGTCTTTAAGAAAAAGTGAACAGACTGAAGTTATAATTAAAAATATTCCCCAAAGCTACAGAGAAACCCTGTCTTGAAAAAAGCAAAAAAAAAAAAAAAAAAAAGATATTACTTTCTTCCTTTTTTTCATGGTTCTAAGGATTAAACCTAGCAGGGACAGTAGGTAGACTCTTTACCCCTGAGCTATACTCCCAGTCCTCCACTTTATTCAATCCCCCCAAACAAAATAATTACACAAAAACTTGATACAATATGTATATATAGGACTCATATGCTAAAAGCTACAATAATTTAAAAAGGAAATGAATTAGCTAAAATTAAGTAGAAGGAAGCCATATTTAATACTTATTAGATTAAGGGAATGGAATAGAAGACTCAAAAATTGGGTAAGTATGATCGGTTATTTGGCTTCCAACAAAGGTGTACAACATATTCAATCAAGCTACAGGGAGTCTTTAAGAGGCAATGTTGGACCAGTTGTATCTCCATCAAAAAATAAATAAAAATGGACTTCAACCTAAATCTTTTACCTTATACCAAGATGAATTCAAAATAAATTACAGATTTAAAGTTCAACCACAAATTGGACAATACTCTGAATATATTCTAAAGTTTAGTTTGTGTGTGATGTATATATGTATAGTGTGTGTGTGTGTGTGGTGTGTGTGTGTGGTGTGTGTGTGTGTGTGGTGTGCTTCCATATCTGAATTCAGTACATGTCCTATTTGCTGGTGGATGTCAGAGAAGAACTTTGGGTGTGAGTCTCTGGCTTCTACCAT